GTAAGGCACTTGTTACTAGTAGCGATGCACTTGTTCCTAGTAGCTTCCTACCCCCCCCAGCCTGGAGCTTCGAGGCGGCGTTGGAAATTCCCCTGGCTTTGGGATATGCCACTGGATGGACATTTGTGGTGTCGAGGTCCTGTGGGGAAGCCCTGTACGTCAAGACATGAGAGAGAGACACTCCCCCAAAGTAACATGAAAGGACCGGGAGGGTGTTTTTTAAAGGTTTTGGAAGACCACTTTGCTCTACCAGCTGGAGGCCATGTTTCCTTGAACTTGGAAGATGACAGATCGCAACTGATGACCAAGCATCTTCAAACTACCGTACCTACCATGGCCCATCCAGTGACCTACCGGTCGTTATGTTCTTCATTCCCCCAACGGGCCATGGTGCCATGCCCCCACCGTCCCCCCAAAAAGCAGTGTTTCAGCGTTCGTTCCAAGGATGCCGCCATGGATGAGCCCTTTCAGCTCCTCTACCGGGAGTTCATGGCGGCCTTCCCGGACGCTGGTTCCGCGCGCGAGCGCGCATGAACCGAACCGTGTTGGGTGGATGATCCGGTGATGGACCGACAATGTCGGTGGTTGAAAGGACCATGGACCAGAGAAAATGATACGTAGAACATGTTTGTGAAGCCCTCAATAGACCAATTCAAACAGTAAAGAAAACCTAAATATCATGATCACCTCACTGACTTCAGGAGTCCAAGTTCATTTACACGGTCAGAGATCCAGAGACTTGGTTCGCTTCATATGACAAGCTCATCTCAGAATCTTGGCGAGCCGACAATTCCTAGTAGCGATGCCAGGAGCCCCTAGTAGCTTCTTGTTCCTAATAGCGATGCCAGGAGCCCCTAGTAGCTTCTTGTTCCTAGTAGCGATGCCAGGAGCCCCTAGTAGCGTCCTAGCTCCTAGATGCATTTTGACCATCCGGAGGTCCAGAAGAGTTGGAAAATACAGCGGTTTCAGAGTAGATAGGGTGGTTGATATGGACCCGCATATAGATTAGACATCTTGGGATGCCAGTGCCATCTATTCTGAAACCACTGTAGAAATATAAATATTATATATAGATGATATAGATGATATATGTGCGTGTGTGTGATGATTTTTTTTTTTGGTCAAGCCTTGAAGGTTTTGTTGGCTTTTGGGATGCCCTCAGGAATCGAATGCCAAAGATGCTGCAGATGCCAGGAGGCTAAGAGGCTTGAAGATGCGCCATATTCCTTTGGGAGCTATGGATCCAGATCGGCCAGAAGGCAAGCAAAGAAGAGCACTTGAACAGGTCATGTCGGAATCTGGGCTTTACTGAATTCTTTGTTTGATGATGTTTTATGCAGGTGCCTTTTCTTCAGATGTTTTTCCTCCTTTGCTTCCAGAACTGCAGTGCATGGCAGTGCCAACATGCTTCATGGGCCTCCCAACTCAGAATCTTGAGCACAGTTGTTCAATTGACCCTTTTTTTACGATTTCGTTGGTGTTGGTCGAAGTGGACTGTCTTTTGGTGGCAGAGTTCTGCACGGCGTTTGTTCAAAGCACGACAAGAAGCTCAGAACCTCCTTCTCCAGCGGTTTGGTCAGAGCCACCGGAGCCTGACAACGGAGGATTGTAGTCAGTGCCACTACTGGGGCTGCAACTTCGGTCAGCCTGATACGCAGGACTCAAAGCAGCAATGCAACTTGCTGATTCAAAAAAGGGGGTCTTGAAATGAAGGAGGAGAGAATTGATGCTGTTGTCAACTAGCCAAGTGCATCATGAAAGTTCGAGGTTTCGTTCCTGGAACGCCGAGGTATCCAATCGTATTGGGGCCATCTTCGGAATGTGACGGAGGCAATTCCCAAAGATCGATTGCTGATCTTCAATATGAGTGATGGATGGGCTCCTCTCTGCAAATTCTTAGGCAAACCCATCCCGTTACTGCCATTTCCACATGTTGATATGGTGAGCGATTATTTTAGTCCCTGGGACAGCTCGGGCAGCTCCACCTCACTGGTACAGACGTCAGCTGCTTGGAAGCTGCCACTTCAAGAGCTGTGAGAGTGCTTAGCCTTGCGGCTTGCATGCCGAGGGTTGATGGCTTTTGATTAGGAGCTGATAGGAGGCCCCAAAAGTGGGGATTGCACTCTCCTTTTGATGGGTGTTGGCGGGGATTCGCCTGCGGACGAAGTTCATAGGTTTCTCCAAACCGGTGTGGAGCTGCAAACGCTTGAGGGGAGCTTTGGCCTTGAGCATCGCCCTAAGCCCTAAGTGGCTCCAAAGGCAGAGAGAGCGAGAGAGCAACAACATATCCTTTGCTTGTCCATCAGATCAGATCACTGCGAGGTAACGGTTGGGTGGGAATGAGCCCCTTCAATTTCCAGAGTCACTCGGAGTCGCGGGTGTGATCCGGAGTCGCTTGCTTTCCACCTTCTCATCTCCAGCTAGCTGAAGAGCTTGAAAGGTTTCAGGATGTGCTCGGCTTTTGTGATTAACAAGATGCTACTCATTGGTTCCTTGGCATGGACCTCATGGGATATCTTACGAGTGTTTCATGTCACGGGGAGTCTTTCGGGAGGTGTCCAGGACATGTTTTTGGGACCTTCTTGTAGTGGGACCTTGACCCGAACATCCATGGGTGGTGTGGTGTGGCTCATGGTCCCTAGCCACGGACGAAACCCCTGCGTTGCCGTGGCGGAGCTTCGTCATGTTCCATATTGTACTGCTGGGCTGGCAGCTGGCATCAGCCTTTGAAGTGCCTTGGATGTACTCCAGAAATGAATGTGCAGAATCTCTCAGCACACTCCCAATTGGCCCAAAGTCCTTTCCTGTGGTTTTCAGTGTTCATGTCTAAAGTCTAAAGGCTGCCAGGAATTTGTGCGCCAGGTGTCGGCCAAACATTGCACTCCAGCTTGGTGCGAGAGAGTTTCTTGTTTGCTCACTGAAAGTTCTATGATCTTGTGAATGTGAGCCCATGAGTAAGGAACCCTCCTATTGGCCCTGTTGGAAAGTTAGGTCCAGGGTACCCATAAACCAAGCCAATTTGTAGGGTCCACCGTCTTCGCCAACAAAAACACCTGCTAAACTGATCGCCATTCCCTTTCTGCAGCCCTATGTTCAATATCTTGAGATTCTTGAGGATCCCTCATGAAGAGATAAGCTACTAGTAGCTACTGGCATTACTACTAGTAACAAGAGGCTACTAGTAGCTCCTATAGTCTTGGGCATGATGGACCCTCCCAAGAATCCATGCCACTGTGTTTCCAGACCGGCTGACCTTCGTGTCTTTTAATCACGGGTTCACATGATTCTGACAAATGGGAAGAGCACATATTAGTTACATCGGACGGTGTGATTAAACCAACTAGATAGTTCCAGACAACTTATATATATATATATAAATGCTATTTGGATATTAAATGTTATTAATACTGCTATTATATACAATATATCTATCAGGTCCTATCACCGGTATCAGAGGGCCCTTCGGCACTCAGAGGGTGATGAGGGTGTATGTGCTTGGTGCCCTCGGCCCTTTTTCGATTGCTGGCCCAGCATGAAATTGGCAAAGGCGACACGGCGTGCTGGTCATGTCCAAGGTCATGTCCAGAGACGCCGACCTCGATGTGCATGAAGCGTCCTTTCCTAGTAGCGATGCCCTTTGCTACTAGTAGTAAGGCCAGGGGCTACGTTCGTAGCGTTTGACCGCTTGTCATGCCCAATCGATGAAAGCTGTCGACCCTGAGGTGTTGGATGTGGCACCACCGCGAACTGGCACACAGTCACTCCGTGCAGCTCTAGATATTTTGGGCAGCTTGGAGCACACACGAAGGAAACACATCAGGTGCAGTGTGTGTTTTGGAAATCTTTGTTCATGGCTGTACCTCATTTGCCATCAGACACCCTGGTTGGAGGTTCACTTGACAAAGGCCTCAGCCGGCAAGGTTAGGAACGAGAAATGTGCGTTTCCCAGCTCTTTTCGCGTCTCCCAGGCTATAAGACGCTTCATTCTGGCTCGGCAACCTGGGCAGAACACTTGCAGGATCTTGCAGGTGTTTGACATGATTAACTGTTTGGGGCCCAACAATTTTGGGACATTTGCAGCACATTTGAAAGATCAAATGTGGCAAACATCCTCCAGGGCTCCTGGAGCATCGTTCACGGATCGGGATGTACACATGGCTGAGGAGACTTGGAGCCGTAAACCCTGGTGCCAATACCTCTTCCGCAACGGTACCTTGGAGGCTGCCCTGCCAATACTGGATGAATACGATGCTCAGATTCATTTGTTTGGAACACATCAGCCAGAAAATGATAGAAAGGGGGCAAAGAACCTGCGCGGAGGACTTGCATACTTTCTGACTTGCATTCTGTTTAAAATCCTTTGTTTGTGGATAGGCTTAGCCAAGCCATCCACTTCCATGGAATGGTGCCTCTCATGTGTTAAGGATGCAGCCATGGATGAGCCCTTTCACTTGCTGTACCAAGAGGTGATGGCTGCGTTTCCAGACTCCTAGCTGGAAGTCAAAATAAGCACTCAACTATATACTTGGCCACTGAAGTTCGTTCCCTATGCCCTATAAAAGACACTCCTATACAGGTGGAGGTTAGTGTGTGTATGTTTGCCATATTGTGCCTATTGCGATGACAGTCAGTATGTTGATAGCCATTAGTGTGCAGCATATGGAAACGGACACGGACTGCTGAATGCCAAGGGCTGCGTTGGAGGGACTTTAGGCTTGGCTTTGAAGATGTCGTGATAGAACTGCAACTCGTACACCGTGACCACCGACAATGCACTGGAATGTGACCCTGTTTGGAAAATGGAGAGAACATCTGAACTTCTGCATAGACTAGACTAGAGTTGATTCTCATGCACTAGGCAAGACTTCAGACTTCGAACCGAGGAATCCAAGTTCGTTTACACGCTCAGGGACCCCGACTCCTGGTTCGCGTCCTACGACCAGCTCTTGTCAGACTCCCGCCGAAAAATCGCCTGATCGCATTGCATCGAACTTTCTGTAAACAACGAAAAGGACAATCTGCCGCAGGGCCTGCGGGGTAGTTGGTGTGCTTGGTGCAGAAGCATTTCAAGACCCATGAGTTGTGGCAGGAAATGCTAGGAACAGTGTGGTGCATCACAAGTACAATCTATGTCCTATGACTATTGTTGTTGTGTTTGTGTTTGTGAATGATGTGGTTGGACATCAGCAGTGGAAGTACGTTTGTATAGGCTGCAGTCCAATATTCTCAGTGTGCTTGAGGGAATAGTTTCAGTCGCCGTGATTTGTTCCTTTTCGTCCAGACTAAGGGACTGCATGGCCGACAAGCTACGGTGGGAAAGCTGCTTAGAGGTGTGAAGAGACATCTCCATATTCCCTTGGGTGAATTGGATCCTGATCGCCGAATGACTGCTGAAGAAGAGAATGATGAGGATTTGAATCAGGAACCTCAACAGAGCTTAGGACCCGCCCAAAACACTTGTTTTTGACTCGCTTCTAGAAGCGAGATTCAGGACCAAGTGTTTTGTCAAGGAGAAGGCCAGTTTTAGTCGTTTTGCCTTTTCCCTTGAGACTTGCCCGTAGATCCAGAACCGGATGCCACTGGCTGGGAGTAAGGAGTGCCTGCAGAGTCACTACTGGGGCTGCCGCTTTGGCGTACCTGACACAGAGGACTCGAAGCAACAGTGCATCCAGCTCGAAACGTGTAGGAGTCCTGTAGAAGTTTTGTTGGAGTGTGTTTGTTTTTTTGTGATTTCCATTAATTTCCTCAGGAAAATTACAGTAGATCATTGGACGCTTAATGTTCGCCCAAAATTTGCAGAACATTCTGACGTTTGCTCCCGATATGAAACTGTCAGCTTGGCGTGTTTTTTTGTCAACTGCCCACTGCTAAGGTATCGAATCCTATTGGAGCCATCTCCGGAATCTGACGGTGGCGATTCCCAAAGATCGACTGTTGATGTTCAATATGAGTGATGGATGGGCTCCTCTCTGTAACTTCTTGGGGAAACCCATCCCAAAACTGCCATTCCCATATGTCGACCACATGATGGACGATTTGAAGCCTTGGACCTCGCTGGTGCAGAAGTCTGCCAAGAAGCGACCGGAGGAACTTTGAGAGTTCGAGACGTCCCAGGGCATGTGACGAGCTATGTCAATCACCCACCTGGTCCGACCGCGGCCAAGTCCATGTCACGGACTGGTCAGTGGTTCCAACCTGTCTTGCATGGCAAGAAGCTAGTAACTACTTACAAACTACTTTTTGAGTGAGGAAGGAGCTGCATTGAATTTAACATGTACAATATAGTTTGGAGAGCAGAGCCCAATTCGAAGGCCACAGAGCGAGAGAGAGAGAGAGAAAAGACAGCAAAACAAGTGTACATAGTTGTATTGTCCAATCGTGAGTTTGCCGAAGGGGATCAACTGTGGGAGATTGGAGACTCCAGAAAATCGGCATCAGAGGTAGAGATATTTGGGGTGCAACCACTTGCTTGATGGAGATTCCCAACTAGGAAAGAGATTTCCTATTGACTTTCAGAGGGTCATCTCAGTCATCAACTTTATACGTGGCTTGTTTTTGCACCACGGCCAAAATAGCGGAAATAGAGTAGAGCTGACTGCTTGGATCTGGATATAAGACTGTGCCAATGAAAAGCGCAGATGGCTATCAATTCAATCATCTCACCATATCCAGGACCATTTGCACGTTGATTTTTGCCTTGAAGTCCGGCGTCCTAGAGGCGGCATGGTGTAGACCGCGGGCTCAATCCAACACTCCTGTGGCTCAAGACGTAGCCAGAGACGAAATCCCACGTTTGTGGCTGAAGCCCATAATGATGTTCCATATTTTGGTGCTTTGTTGGCAGCTGGCATCAGCTTTTGAAGTGCCTTGGTTTGCACCAAAGCACGCCCAAACACCCCAAACACAAGTCGTCACAAGTTTGCCCAGGTTCTGGACGTGGGTGCACCACGTACTGGCACACAGTCCCTCCACACAGCGCTCAATCTTTTGGGCCTCTTGGACATGACATCAAGTCAACTGACAGGGGAACATCAAGGATATTGTGTACTGTATAGGATATTTACTGTAAGTGAATTTAGGGGCTGCATAACCTTATCCAAAAGTTGGCCTAGTGCCAGCTGGCGGCTAGCTCAACCATTGTGGCTTGATCCAGTCGGGCGTTGTTGCTTTTATGTCAAGTGATGTCAAGTGTGCACCGCCATTGGACCTAGATGCGATTTCGCTACAGCAAGGGAAGCCGTGAACAGGTATGTTGATGATATGTTTTGCTGGCCAGCCTGCTGGTCCCAAGACAGTTGTGAATGGTGTTCCAAGATTCGTGAGCAGGAGTTTCAGTGCTGAGTAGATTACTGTAGATGGGCCCAGTCCGTTTGCTTTGAGCCATCGGCCCGTCACAATCGAATCTCTAAGGTTACAAGACTTTGCATTCTGGCTTAGCGACCCGGCGATTATGGTAGTACATTTGATCAACCGCAGACGTTCGGGCTGCCAACATGATGTACGATAGACTCAGACATGTAAATTTTACCTTAAGTGCAGTTAGATAGATGTGTGTTATGTGAACGTCGAAGGCTCTTACAACTGATGAGAACCTTGTATAAAAGGGAGCTCTTACAATCTGCTCCGGCAGTTAGTGAGTCCAAGAAATCCAGATACAACATGCATGTAATTTAACATTTTTGTTCGGGTGCGCTTTGTCGTTCGATCAAAACTGAGGCATTTGCACCCTTTGTTCGTAGAGCAAAAGGGTTTGTATGTTCATATTTTCCACTTCGATGTTAGTCAGGGTGTATTGTGACATCGGCCACCCCCAGGCGGTTGCATGCCGCAAGCCCTGGTGCCAGTACTTGTACCGCAACGGCAGCTTAGAGGATGCATTGAAGACCTTGGAAGGATATGATGCTCGGTAGAAAGGCTTGGGGACGAGTCCGTTAGAGAGTGTGCTTTGGGATTTGCATTGAGCTTTGGAAAAGACAGGTAGCACGACGGAAGTGTTGAAAAGTGTCGAAAAGGTGAGAGCAAGAGAGTAACTCGCTACAAAGTGGCTATTGGATTCTACTGTTCTATATACTGGTATCGGTTGAATGTGCTTCAATGCATGTCATGTTTGTACAACTAGGAGGTGCTTGAAATTCTGGAGTACTCGTAGGTGACAGGTACCCAATTTGCTCTATGTGGAGGTTTGTCTTTGCTTTTTCTCTATGTGTTGTGTGGCGTTCTTCATGTTGCTTGCGTGTGGCAGCTCCGCGATTTAGAACTTCCTTCCGTCCACCGCATCGACACAGTCACGACAACGCGTTCCGGCGCATTCCCAGGATGCAGCCATGGACGAGCCCTTCAACCTCCTCTACCGAGAAGTGATGGCAGCCTTTCCGGACGCCTGACGGATCATGGCATGACATGAAAAGGGAGCAAACTGTGCCGGAGGAAAGTAGAACACGCACCTCAGCGTGCTCTGATTGCCAAGGGTATGACTTGCATATACTTGCATGTGTGTACGCGGTCAGTGTCATGAGCCATGGTTTCTCCTGAGTTTGTCCGACTCACAGGCTAAGCATCCAAGAAAACCCTTCAAATGCTTGGCAGACCCGCTATCCTTGACACTTAAGAAGCAAAACAGCCACAGCCCGCCCTGAGGAGTCCAAGTTCGTTTATACCGTGAGGGATCCAGACACTTGGTTTGCCTCCTACGACAAGCTCATGACAGACTCCCGTCCGACTGGTTGAGAACTTTATTCTTGGCTTTGTTCTATTTGGGTGATATGTTTTGACTTCACGCTATCAGACTCGTCGGTCTGCCTTTCGCTGAACTCGGCGGCTGAACCTCTAAGGGCATCAACTCCAAGAAGACAACAAGCAAGAAGCTGCTGAGAGGTATCAGAAACCGCCTCCATGTTCCCTTGGGCCCCTTTGATCCAGATCGCGACTTGAGCCCGGAGGAAGAACAGGTGCGGCAGTTGGATAACGAACCTTGGCCAGTCTGGGGGGTCTAGGAGTGCACCCCCATAAGAACTGGAGAGGAATATATATGCGGTGGTGGAACAACAGTAGAGGATTTGGCTAAAGCAGCAATGATGCGGCAGATGTGGCATATATATATATATGTACATACAGTATACAGTGTTTTTTCATGTGTCCCAGCCTATTTGTTACCAAGTTCTACCTTTAAGATGCTTGATTTGACCATGACCACCATGTACCGCCAGCGAAAGGAAGGGGCATGGGGCAGTCCAAGGAATGCAACCAATGCCACTACTGGGGTTGCCGCTTTGGCGTCCCTGACACGGAGGACTCGAGGCCGCAATGCAACTAGCTGAAGACAGGTTGAGCAGTCAAAAGAGTCTCGGTTGTTTGTTTTTATATTGGGAGTATGTGCCACGAAGGGACCATGTGGCATGCCTGGATGTGTTGGATGTTTTTGGACCATCAAGGTATCGAATCCTATTGGAGCCATCTCCGGAATCTAACAGCGGCGATTCCCAAAGATCGATTGCTGATGTTCAATATGAGCGATGGATGGGCTCCTTTGTGCAGCTTCTTGGGCAAACCCATCCCGAACCAGCCATTTCCACACGTTGATGATGTGAATGACGCCTTGGCACCTTTTGAGGGCCCACAGGGCGCGTCTTTTGTGCAAACGTTTGCCCAGCGAAGGAAACCGAGCGAGCTCTAAGATTCTCAAAGCGATGATTTGAGTTGACATATATATATTACTCTCCTAATAATAGTGATATGTTGCTTAATTTGTACTTGGACAGGCCAGGATGGTTGGGTGGTGTCGGTTGACCATGGTGCAGTCTAAAAATACCTTGGATGAGAGGTATGAATGGTCAATAACAGCGCAAAGGCTTTATTTTGTTGGATATATTGTGGATAATATATATATATGGCATGTATAAGATGTTTTTCAAGTGCAACTTGTCCAGTATACTTCTACTAGATAAATGATGGTGTCCATTGACCGTTGGTACTGACACTCTTGAGCACGAGGGCAACAAGTAAGTATATAGTTCGGATATGATTTCATAGGATCCTTTTGCTTTGCATTTGTGGCTTGCTGGGCAGCAACTTCTCCTCGAAGAGAGGGGATTGTGACGAGAAGAGGCGCGGGCAGCTACTCCCAAAAAGTCCGACCGGGCGACCGAGTGTCACGTCCTGACGTGCGGACCGTGCGTTTTCACGAACGGACCTGATCGGTGCGGGGTCCACATTGGAGGTTCATATATATATATATATATAAGGGATGTGGATCCGATCAATGATGTGCCGAATTCGGATATGCAGCTGTTTGTAGCTGGCTCTTCTTTGTGGTCGCTCAGTGTGCTCGCAGTCATGCTCCTCCGCTGCGGTTTTATGTCGCGATCAATGTTGATCGGGAATTGGGTCTCCTTTTTTTGCCTTGACAGATGTTTTGAGCTGCTGCGGTCTTTCAACCGACTCCAGTTTTGCAGAATTTTGCAGAGAGCACATTTCATGATTCCAAACTGGTGGATTTCTCGATGACCGCAAAGACACTTTGACCAGATGCTTTCGGAGTAGCCAAGACAATCCAAGACAAAGTGTTTTTCTCCGTCACTTAAAACAGTCATTCCTTTGGAGAGGGCATGGCCTGCTTAAATCTGTCGATTCTGGCGTCCACTTGTTCCGTTCCCGATTTTCACAGCGCCCAAAGCAAACTGCACTTCACCACGCTAGGTGGCAGAGTGTTCAGCTGAGCCGCCGAGAGAACCCGAACCCGAACCCCGCCCCCGCCCCAGTCGGACGCTCCGCGGAGCCTCAGGGCGATGCTGAACCGCAAGCGCCAGCGAAGCAGCGACCTGTCCCTTGGTCTGGCAGCTCCGCTCCGGTCGTTTCGGTCCGAGCTTCGCTCGTCTTGCGCCTCCACAATTCAAGCATGTTAGGGAGCGGAGCAGAAAAAGTTTGTGGCAGCATTATACATTGATTAGTCGATGAGCAAATTACAGGCGGTGACAACATGTGACAAACCCTACACTATTCATGGCCCAGCAGCCCCAACAGATTGGTCCCTCTTTTCGCTCTCAGACCCAGGTTGGGACCTTTGCTGTACCGCATCCTCCATCCAGAAGCGCATGATG